TATTTATCTTCGTGGATTTATTATTATTCAAATCAAGTGATACGTATTTGAAAGTGCTTCTTATCCTAAAAGTGTCATAAATTGCTCAAAGTTAGGAACATATTAAATAAGCAATATGATTTTGGCCATCTGTAAGATTCACTTTCTTCATTCATAAAATAAAACATACTCTTAACTTCATATGTTTAATAATCAAATTATGTATATACAATGTTTAAATTTTAGATATAATCAGTATTATCATTTAAATTATAAAACTTTTTTAAGTACTTAGTAAATGATTTAAATGTCAAGAGAAGAGTAAAATGACCCTTGTTTTGTTCACAGGCAAGATCCTTCGTTTATCTTTATCCTAAAATCTTAGACTCTACTATTTTAGCTTACATATGTCCTTCACTATAAAGAAAATTAGACACACTAACATTTACTAAATGTTTACTATGTGATTGACATTACTAACAATAAGTTAATCAAATTTTTTTTCAGTTTTGAATATCCATGCCAGATTATGTTCATACCCTTTCCTTTTGCTTTCTTTTTTCTTTTGCAAGTTGGAGACTGGGATGCAAAAGCTAAATTATGTGTGAAGTTATCAAGTTAGTAAATGTGAATCTGTGATTTAAACACATCTATCTCTCTATTCCTGTCTTTTTCACTATAGCAAGTGTCTTTATTCTAATGCTGGATTTTATTATACATTATGGATTAACTCATCTAATAGCACATAGGATTTTGCTAAAAGTACTGTGCCGTGGAATAAATATAATTTTATTTATACAGCAAAATATAAACATCCTAATAACGAAGTAATATAAAACAAAAGTAAATTCATGTTATACATTTAAAAGAATATTCACCAGAAGTATATGCATGGAAATGGCAGGTTGAATTTTAAAAATTTAAGCTCCAAATGGCTTACAGCCATGACTCATAGCAGCCTGAATTGTTTTTCTCCAGAGATGAATGAATTCTATAATTATAACTTGAAACTGGCAAAGCGTGATACTTCTACACGATGGCAAAAGCAAAGATCTACACTAATCACAAGAAAATGTACAGAAAACTGTAAGTCCCATATTCCTTACAGCCATGACTCATAGCAGCCTGAATTGTT